AGGCCAGGCTGGCAAAACTTTTGATTTTTCTTGTCAGTCCAAGTTTGAGCACTGAGAGCTCAATTATGTATTTAGCTGAAAAAAAAAGCTATTTTATAAAGGTTCTGGGTCTTAAACAAAACGTGTTCAGATGTCTTCTCATCTGAGCCTCCTAAAATAAAACCTTAAAGCATGTAAAACCCCAAATCAGTTTGCATCTAATAAATAAGTATTTTCTCTTAAAAAAGGAAAGAATCCATGACCATACTTCTGTTCAAAAGTGTTATGTGGTTTCCTTTTCTAACATGTAATCACGCTTTAAAATACAAGAAGTTTTTGAAAAGCTCATCTTAAGTTAGTTTTCAGCAAAGCCTTTTCTCTAAAAAAAAAATATAACCCTGCAATACCCATTTCCAGACTTCTACAATCAAACTAAAATTAGCAAAACTCATTACCATCCCAGCCAGCAGAGCACTGTCAACTCCCTCTGCATCACAGAAATGTCTTGGCTCCTGTCATGCAAAAGCTCTCTATGCACCCACTAGCATTAATAATTTACTTAAAGAACCAGATCTTTTTAGACAGAGTGAAAATCTAGGACACAATTTCAAAATAATACATTTTTTGAACATAATAGTTTACGTATTATCAGATAAATAAATGTTTAATTAAAATAAGTAAGAATCCAGAAAATTATAGAAGGATTAAAACCAGGTTTAAAAAGAAAATGTAGTGGCTGCAGAGCATCACTGTGGCTCCAGTTTCCAAAACAAACCAATTTTCTCACTTTCCTAAACAGTTTCTCCAATGATATCTAGCTATATAGGCATTCTCCTTCAGTCTTAATCAAAAGTGTTCTAAACATGCTGCAGACAGCACACTGACCTTCCCTGTTTATCTGTCATCTTCTACACCTTTACATTATTATACACCTTTACATTATTTACCACAGCAGTACCTCAATCCTATCAAGGGTTTGGATCGGCCATACAAAAAAGAATTGGATGTCTTTTCCCTGTTATTGCCTTTCTTGGAGAGGTGAGATGAGGGATAGTAATACACAATACATTTTCATTTAATGTTTAACGCTGGCAGGAAATCAGTGTGATTTTATAATTTAATACCACTGGATGCATTGAGGTAAGGTATAGTTTCCAGTAATTAAAAGGTCTCATGTTCAGATGAAAGATGAAATACCCTGCTACTTTGCTGTAACAAAGAAATTGCACAAACCTTCTGGATCTCTTCAAATAACAATTTTTTCACATGTTTCACTGAGGCCAAGTGGGTATTTACTCTTACAGTTGTAAAAGCTGGTGGATGAGATAGATGACTTAACAGAGATTGGTATTTTTTCTCTGCTTCCTGTGTACCTAAAGCACTGATAAGCTGAAAGTGAAAGAAGAGATTTTAAGAGATTCACGCAGAAGCCTCTTGCTCAATGCAAAATTACCCCACTGAACAAACATTCCACAGAAATTGAGGGATTGTGTTATGTGGTGTGCAATAGTGACAAATGTCTATGTCTGGAAGTCCAATTCCACTGGAAGCCTTATAAATTTATTGAAAAATACTTACTGGAAAAACAGTTGTATCAGCAAAATCACTGCAAACAGTTTGCAGCAAGTATCAAAGCAACTGCTAGAGAGCTCTCTGCTATAGTACATAGACCAGCCCTAAGAAAATGGAAAACTAAATTCAAATCTATTAATCAGTAACTTTCATACTGATAAACATGTACATAAAAAATCAATTTGTTTATCCTTGGCATTAGGAATTAATAGATTGTCTGTAGTATTCTACATTGGGGTAATGGAGTATTTCTTGTCAATATTATGTGGTGAATATGTGCTTAATTATCTATGAACTCTTCAGTGGGATCCAAAACTGAATTCTCTGATTTATACTCAATTCAATTTAAATATTTGTATGCTACTTTGAAGTAATGGGAATAAACACTAATTTTATCTTTTTTATATAGAAATACTTTATATAAAACCTCCATGTTTAATGTGAAGACAATATTTTATCATAAAGTATTAAAGTTACACAAAAATTTATTATTTTGTGATGGTTAGGGGTAACATGTCACATACCTCGCTATTTCTGAAAACTTTGGTGAGATACTCTTCAACTTCATATTGGAAAACGATTTTAGGGAAAAAGGACATCTTCCTTTAATTTTTAAAATCTGCTGGCAAGGAACTGAAATAAGCAAAGTATTTTCTTCATTATTTTTATCGTATTCTGTAAGTTTATAGATTTAACACAAAATGTACCCACAAACTAACCTGTTGTTTCTGATTCTTCCTATTTTAATAATGCAATTTTATTGCACTCAAATTTCCAAATATTGATCAGGATATGACTGTAGCATTATCTCAATTACAAAAATTCTACCGATCCTTAAAATAAATCTTCAAGCTATCTGGTGAAAAAAAATACATGGATAAAAGGTACAGGAAATTCCAAGATGTAGCTTTAGTTCCTCTTGAAAAGACCAGCTATATAGTCTTATTGCAGCTCAGTCCTGACAGAGATTTTACTGTTTACCATTTTTCTCTGTAGGTAACAAAATACACTTGTCTTCCCAAATGGAATCTGCCCACCTCTCAAATATTTTGAAAAATTATATACACTTCAGTCTGAAATGAGACTACCTAAAAATTTAAATTTGCTTACAACAACATAAATGGAAGGAAAGAAAGGTTTATTCCATTCATAATAAGGAATTTTGACTATTGAAATATATTTTCATTGTACTAAATATACTTAGAAAAGAAAGATCAGAATATTTAGTATTCATTTTTTTTGGATAAGAGATTATTTGTTACTTTTATCATACAAAACCCCTCAAGAATATTTTTTTATTTTTCGTATTTCTGATTCAATTAAAATCTTAATGCTGAAAGAATGTTACCTTATGTAGACTTACTTTTGAGCCAGACAAAGGCAAAGTTTCATGGGTAGGAAATTCAAAGCCTTATTCGCAACATTAGCAGCTATTGAAAGAAAGAAACTGCAATTGAATTAACTTCTTTATAAGTCTAACAAAATGTCAAGAACTTTCCCTGCTATTTCCACAAAGACTAATAGTAGTACAATAACACTACAATCTAACAGTTGATACAACTGAAATCACCAAAGGCCAGATTTAACATTTCAGAAAATGTGACGTATTATGTGCCTGTTGTCCTAGAATGCCTACATTACAGGGAAAAAAAAAAAAAACAAACCAACCACAAAAAGATCCCCATATGGCCCACATTTTGAAAGGTTTTTCTTCAGAAGCATAGTAAACCAGCCTTTAAAAAAAATGCCACCCTAAATTTCTTTTTAAGAATTGGAATCATGAAAATAATTAAGCAGACATGTAGAAATGTGGTGTTTATACGCCCTATGTGTAACTTTAATATTTACATTACGAAGGCAATCTTCCCGGCTGGGGACATAGCTGAGAAGGGACAGGACAGATGCTTTCAAGTTCATATCCAGCAGGAAGCCAGGCTGGTGAGGGAGATTCCCTGGTGCCCCTAGTGCCAAGTAAAGAGTCAGGCTTCAAACGTTGAGCAGGAGGCAGGCTCCTAGTAGCTAAATAATTATTTTTTTTTCCCTCCAGACCTGCAGTGCCGCTTACCCCAGAAAAGGCATATAGAAAATATTTAAACTTTTTTTTTTTTTTTTTTTCCCACGGATTTTTATGTGCTTCTGTGGGCAACTGCAGCGGCGAGCACGATGCCGGAGCGAGGCTTTGATCTAGCCACGCACACGAACGCTACCGGCAGCACACGCAGCCAGCAGCAGAGATGCCGAGCAAGATTTTCAAACCTCCCCACCCACCCTTCGACACACGAGGAAACGACAGCGGGGTCACTGTCGCAAGGATCGGAACATGGGGCTCACGCCTTTATTCCTTCGCCCTCCCGTTACTGAAACATCAGGGAGCGGGGAGGACCGGGAGGCGCAGCTCTCCGCAGCCCCCCGAGGCCCGGCGCCTCAGCCCACAGCTACCCGGGAGCCGCCGCACCCCGCGGGACGCGCCACCGAGCCCCGACGGACCCCGAGGCACACGCGGGGCTCCTCCACGAGAAGGGCGGAGCACGCCGGTGGCCGTGGCCGGCCGGCCGGACCGGACAGCGCCCAGCCCCAGCCCCAGCGCCCGGCACGCACCTACCGCAGGGCCCGCCTCCTCCGGGCGGCGGCAGGAAGTGCCGCCCGCCCCGGCGCCGCAGGAGCCGGGCACGGCCCCGCCGCTCCCTCCACGGCACGGGGAGGGCGGCAGCAGCGCCCGCCGGCGCCCGAGCTTATCCGACAAGACGTTGCTGACATCGCTTCTTTTTTATTTATTATTGTTTTGTTTTCTTTTCCGAAATTCTGCCGAGTGGATTAAAGGAACAGGTTTTGTATTTCCACCGCTTCGGCACCTAAGTGCCCGCGGGCTCGCTGGCCAGGGCGGAGCCCGCTCCGTGCTCACTTACTGACCCTCCCCACGGTGCTGCTTGCGAGGAAACCCGGGTGGGTACCCCCGCAAGAGCTCAGTTTAGGAACCCGCTGCTTTCTCAAGTTTTACCATACACGGGAGCACTGCCTGCCCTGAAACCCTCAACCCTTGCCGAGGCTAGAGGCCGCGCACCGGCCACAGCACCGCCGGGCTGAAGGACACGGGGCCGGCAAAGGCGCGCTGCCGGCGCCTCCCACCCCGGCACCGACCGCCGCAGCGGGGGCCTAGCGCTCCCCGCAGCATTCGCCCGTCGCGGGACGGCTCCGTGCTCCCGAGCGTGCCGACCGCAGGGCCCTCGGCTTCGCACCGGCCCTGGCGTCTCGCAGCTGTCCCCGCACACACTGCCTGCCCCTGCCGCCGCCATGTCGCCGCAGCGACGCGCGCGGGCCGCGCCGCCGGGGGCGGGGCCGCTGGCGGGGCGGGGCGGTGCCGCGTGCCCGCCCGCCCGCTCGGCGCCGCCGGGGCCGCTGCGGAGCCTCCGCCGAGCGAGCCGGGGGAGCCGCCGCCGCCGCCGCCGCCTGGGTGAGCTCGGGTGCCCCGGGCGTTCGGCGGGAAGCCGAGGCCAGGCATGGGCCTAATCTTCGCCAAGCTGTGGAGCCTCTTCGGTAGCCAAGGTGAGCGCGCGGGCCCGAGCCGGCGGCGGCGCGGGCGGCGAGCGGAGCCCGCGGGGCTGCGGGGGCCGCCGGCAGCCGTGCGGGCGCGGGGCCGGCTCCGCTCGCCGGCCTTGCCCTGAAGGCCCGCCCGGCCGAAAGTTGGGCTTTGCTTTGTGCCGCGCCGTGAGCGCTGATCCCGCGGCGCCTCATGCTCGGGGTGGCTTTGTTTGAGTTCCCGAGGTGGTCCCTCCTCTCCCCTCCTCCCTTAAACGCGCCGTGTGCCCCGGGAGCCTTCCGGCGGTGCGCGCCCGGCGTCCGCGGCGGCCGGGGCTGCTTCCATGGACGAGGCCGGTCCGTCTTGGCTTCGCCGATCCTCCTTTTTACGTCGGGGTCTGTTATTAAAATCGTATTATTTTAGACTTTAATTAGACGGAAAATAAGAACGCCAAACATGCAGGGGCCTTTGAGGTAAAAATCTGTTTGTATTTTGGCAAAGATGCTACTTAAATACAGTCAGTGATCCAAGAAAATAATTTCTCCAGCCAGAAATTAAAAAGGTCGTAAGGGGATAGTATCGCTTTCCATGCTCTCCTGCCCAGTTCATCCAGCCCTGCAGTCATAGCTCATGTTTTAATCCAGAGCTCAGAATTTGCATCTGCCACCACCTTTACCTCAGATGGCTATCATAAAAGTAGAAAATTACGGTTTGTCTGTTAGTTTATTTGTTTTAATGATTTTGGTTTACCTAACCAGCTTTGATTAGAAAATTAAATATATAATATATAATATAATTTTGCCTGCTTCAAGCTCAGGGCCTCAACGAAAAACAATATAAACAAATTCATTAATTGTTCTCTCATCAAGTTTCCAAATGTGTACCTCATTTCCACTTTAAAGTTACTGAAAATGCAGATAAGCCGTTTTCGTGCAATGCTCTGTTGGAAGTTTTTGGAGGCAGATACACCTGGTGTACTTTTGTGCCTGTGATTGCACATAATCCAGTCTTATTCTGTACATACCAGAGCAAAGCCTCAGTGAGTGTGCACATTGACATCTGTATATCAAACTGTCTCTCATGGGATGGGATTGGGACCCAATCCCAGATCATTTATTTTTCTCATGCGTACACCATCCTACCACATAATTCCTGAAGTCTTCTAACACAGTCTTCTAAATTCACTGCTAATTTCTTGTTTTCCTGAACTTTCAAACCTATTTCACAAGATCCAATGTTTCCTCTATCCTCCAATAAGTTATTAAGTACCTTTTTGTTTTCATGAAGTAGTGCAATCTGCAACTCCTTTTCTTCCATGAGGTATTCCAAAGACTCTGAAGAGATCCATAAGCAGGGAACTGATCAGCAGATAACTGATGGCATTTTGTATTTACCTCTATAGTAGCTTATGATGTCAGTATTTATCTTCAGGAAAACACATTGTTTTGGATTTTGTATATTATTTCCTGTTAGAAAAGTTATTCTTCATTGTGAGTGACCCTGGCTGGATGCCAGATGCCCACCAAAACAGCCCTGTGACTCCCCTCCTCAGCTGGGCAAGGGGAGAGAAAACACAGCAAAAGGCTTCTGGATTGAAATAAGGAAAGGGAGAGATCACTCACCAGTTCCCATCATGGGCAAAACAGACTCAATTTGTGAAATTAATATAATTCATTACCAAGCAAACCAAAACAGGTTATTTAGAAATAAAACCAGATCTGAACACCTGCTCCCCATTCCTCCCTCTTTTTTTCCAGGATCAGCTTTATTTTTGGTTCTCTACCACCTCCCTGCAGGAGGGAACAGGTAATAGGGGCTGTGGCCAGTTCATCACATACTGTCTTTGCCACTCTTTCTTCCTTATGGAGGGGACTGCATCCCATGCATGCTCCATGGGCTTCTCCAATGTGTGTTCTTCCCAGGGTCTACAGTTCTTCACTAACTGTTCCAAAAAGAGTCCATTTCACGAGGTGCAGTACTTCAGGGATGGTCCATTCCAGCATGGATCCAGGTCACAAACCTGCCAGCAAACCTGTTTCAGAGTGGGCTTTTCTCCACAGGTCCACAGGTTGCCAGGAGCCTGCTCCAACATGAGTGTCCAGTGGGGTCACAGCTGCCTTTGGGATCTACCTGCTCTAGCAAGGGGCAGTGGATCTCTGCTCCCCCATGGACCTCTGGCTGCAGGGCACAGCTGCCTCGCCATGGGCTGCAGGTGAATCTCTGGCACCTGCAGCACCTCCCCGTCCTTCTGCACCAGCCTTGGAGTCAGCAGAGTTGTTTCTCTCACATATTCTCACTGCTCTTTTCTCTGTCTGTAATTTTACCTGTGCAATTACTTTTTATCATCTTAAATATGTTATCCCAGAGGCATTACACCTGTTGCTGATGGCACTGGCTACATACATATAGGAGAGGTTTCTAGGAGTTTCTCAGAAAACACTGTGTAGCTCTCTTTACTATCAAAATCTCACATTACAAACCTAATACATTATTATATTTAAATGGTTAATGAAATATTAGTCTCACAGTTAAATAGATTACATAATACCATGGAATATTTACTCTTTGGCATGTATCCCAATAAGAGACTTTAGGGTCATGATCCTGGTTTATTGTTGGATTTGGTTTTTGTTTCATTTTTGCTTTGTTCTGGGTTGTTCGGGGTTTTTTTTGGTTTGTTTTGTTTTTCTTTACCTCCTTTTCTTGTGTAGCCACAGAAAAGAAAGTGAGTTTCTTTTCATGGCCAAAACTGAAATTTCAGTTTAGAAAATTTGCTTCAGACATAAATTTTTGATCTAATGGGAAATTATTCTCCCACAACACAATTGTATTATCTAAGTAATACCATTACTAATAATAAAGCATAGTAGTTTCTGAGTTGATTCTGGTTGCTCTTCTAGTTACATCAAATCTTGATAGCTCCTTGGAAAATTCACAGGCTGTCCTGTGAAGCTGCTTGTTGGGCAGACTAAGACAGTAACTTGCACATTGATTTTTACTGTACAGAGGGAGTATTCCAAAGATGCAAATAGGGTCTGCTGTGTGAGGATCATGGCATCAGTTCTCATGGCTGGTGTGAGCTGTGTGATAATCTGCAAAAGGAAAGGCAAAAGGAAAGCTGGAACTAAGCAAAGATTTGAAAGTTTCATCTGTATTCCATCAAGTAGAGCATAGGGGATAAGGTGTGTCTAAATCTTTCAGCTCTCAATATATAATTGAATGATGTGAACTGAAAAAGAGATCTTTTTACTCACAAAAGAAACAGTTGGCTTTAAAATAGACTTTTGTCATTTTTCTAGGTGACTTTTTAATGATTTTGTGATATTTCCTTTTTTTTTTTAAATTGGCAAAAAAACATTACTAAATATTGTTTTATTTAAAATATTATTCTCTGCAGCCATTTAAAGTATAGTTGCTAAATTACAGGAGTTCAGTTGAGTTTACTTTTATTAGTAACTTACTTTCAGAAATTAAAAAAAAAATCAGACTCCAAAAATGACCTGTTGAAGCTATGATTCAGTAATCACGGCACATTCTTCTAAGCAGCATGTAGTCGTGTGGATAGGTGGTGGAGCCATTAAGTTGGTGCCTGTGTTAACACATGCCTGAGTAAAACTTGCTTGACTTACCATTCCATGATTATTACCAAGATAGTTCTTAATTAAAATGTGGATTAAAAATAGAAGTGAATGTCAGCAACACTGATAAATATAAATTACTGTTATCAGTACCTTATTTTTTTGTGTGTGTGTGTGGTGTATAGAGTTCTTTGAGAAGCTCACAAATCTGGGGTTTACTTATTTTTGGAATAGTAATTATTCAACATTTTACAGGTTGCCCTGAATAATTGCTACAATTATTAAAAAGTTGCTTTAAGAAAAGTAATGGTACGCTCTAATTCAAGATGATTGAGCTTCTGTAACTCCACAGTTTACTTCATTTAGCCTTACTGGCAGTTTCCAGTCAGGTTAGGATAGACCCTTATCTGAAAAACCAAATGGTTTTTGGTTTCTCTGACTACTAAAAGTTATTGACAGCTTCTCTGCTTCCTTGTAGTCAAATCTGAGGATACAAAATGTGTTTTAGCAGTTATTTTATGCTTAAGAGAAGATTGTAAATGTGCAGAATGAGCTTTGTATTGAAATGTCTTTGACCTCCAGAATTATGCTATTCATCCTGCCTTCTTTCTAGCAAGCTTCTATCTGCATTGTCTTCAACTCTGAGGCCTCCAAGGTTGTTGCTCTTTGGAACCAGATGAGCATTTTGTTTCACAGCTTGAAAGCTATCAGAAAAGTACTCATTCAGTTGTCATTTCTTCCAGATACGTTAGAAGTAGCATCATTAAAGCATTTAGATTATTATTACTTTTATCTTTTGCAAAGTAGAGAAAAAGGCGTGTTGGGAGAATTGAATCTTCAGGTTTGGGTCCTTTTACCATAGAGAAATATAGATGAGTAAGGAAGAAAAGAGCATGTTATGTCTTTCTTCTAACATCTGCCAGAAGATAATCTTCACTGTCCTGTGTTTTTGTAATACTAAACTGCCACAGATTTTTTTAAACTGTATTACATATCAATTTTTTAAATCAGTGTTCTAGAAATGGCTGTGAAACCAAGAAGTCCTTGGATTCTTTTAAAGAGTAGTCTAATACTGTCTTTTCTATTTTTTTCCCTGCTTATGCCTACTTCTGCTTTCCCCATCTTCCCTCCATCTTCCTACGCAATTAATAAAGGCTCTTCTGCTCTCTCAACTTTGTTGTGGATTTTCTTCTTCTTTTGCCAAGAACATGGTGGACTGGGAAGATACTCATGAATACAACCTAAACTGAGTTTGAATACCAGCCACTAAAAGGGAGAAACTTGGTTTAGTCTGTAAGTACAGAACACAAATAAATCACTGCCTATGATTTACCCGGTAACTGTCCTTCCTCCTGCCTTCTCCTAGTTACTCTTGTAAACAAGTAGCTGTCATGCTAAAATACTGTTCTGTCTTAGTTTGGTAGTTTTTAAGCTCACATGTTTTTCCTCTAATGCACGTCTGTGTGCAAATTTTTTGTTTTCAACAAACTAGACAGAAATTCAACTTTTAAATATGTTTGTAAGTGAAGAGTTTCCATTACTATAGTTCTGGACTCTGCTACTTGTATGAAATACCCATAATTCCAACTTGCTATTTTCATGCCAAGATCACTATTAATTAACTCTTGTGTGACTGTTTATTGTTTGTGCTTATTCAATCACTGTATGAAACACCATTTGACTATGAAGTAACACAGATAAGATGTGCCCTTTTTTCCCAGTTAGTGTTGGACCATTCATACTTCAGTGGCTTTCAAAAGCAGTCATCTCAATGGAGGTTTTTTCTTCATTACTTAGTGTGGTGTTGTATCATCCAACACTCCAATCATCCATGCCTAAGATGTTCTGATAAGAAGATGAGAGAGCAGTGTAATGCCTGACGGGGATTTCTTTTGTTTCTTGAAAATAGCTTAAACAGAATGCTGCAAAAGTAGAATCATCTTCCTGGCAATAGTTGACAACATGTTTGGTTTGAAAAAAAACGGGACTGTATTTCTGTGTTTGGAACTTTGAAAGCTCTTTAACTGTTTGAAGAAGAGATGGGCAGTCAAGCTACTAGGCATGATTTATTAGCCTTGAAAGTAGAGAGGATTTCATACTACTTATGTATTGGGAAAGGTTATTAATTACTGATGCTGCTGTTAGTGGGGCTAAAAGTACTCCTGCATTTACATTCAGTCACATTATTTTCTTAGAATGTGTTGACAGGATGCAGTAGTAGGGGAACTGGCACAGGGAAATATATTTTGCCATCTGTTATGACCCTATTGCATAGCAAAACTTACAAAAGTTTCAAACAAGAAACTATTTCATTACTGTAATCAGTATAAAAATACCTAGGTTAATATATATAAATAGATTTTTAACCAAAACACTTCAATTTTTCCTTAAATCACCCACTTAGGGGAAAAAAAGCATCAATTTGATACTTAGGATAGATCTTTGTAGATCAACTGTGAACCATGTTGTGCTTTGAAATAAGTGCCTTAGAATTGTAAATATTATCTCTTTAATAGTGAGCTTTCACAGAGTTTTTATGTATCCATTTGCAAATTTTTCAGTCTCAAGTGGTTTTCTTTTTTTGGTCAGTAATTAGATCAGTAGCTGTAGCTTCACACATGTCGCAAAAGAACCACCATTCTAAGTGGTTGTGCTACTGGATTAGAAATTCTAAGAGGGATTATTTACAGAGAAGCATAAAAATTCGAAGGGCTTTTTTACTGATCTTGTTTGGTTGATTGATTCTGTTTTGTCTCCCCTGTGCCTGGAAACATGGCATTGCAGCAATTGCAAGATCACTATTTTGTATGCTGGACTTCAGAGCAGGTTGGGGCACATGGTCTTTCCTTTCTGCTCAGCACTGATGAGGCCTCACCTGGGGTACCATGTCCAGTTCTGGGCTCCTCAGTACAAAAGAGGTGTGGACATTCTGGGGAGAGTCCAGTGACGGGCTGCAAGGGTGGTTGAGGACTAGATTAAAAAATCTAACATATGAGAAAAAGAGGTACAAAGAGGGAGAGCCAGACTTGTCTTAGTGGTGCCCAATCACAGGACCAGGCAGTGGCCACAAACTGGACCACAGAAATTCCCTCTGAACACCAGGAATCACTTTTCCACTGTGAGGGTGACTAAGCAATGACCCAGGCTGTCCAGGGAGGCTGTGGAGTTTCCATCTTGGATATATTAAAAACCCATCTAAGACATGGTCCTAGGTCACTGGCTCTGTGGGCCTGGTCCAGCAAAGAGATTTGACCAGATGACCTCCAGAAGTGTCTTCCAACCTTGACCACTATCATTCTGTGACTTTTCAGTTCAGAAGTTGCAAAATTAGAATCTGTGGCCTATTCAAAATACAGTTTCCTCTTAGATTTTACTGTGTAAATAATGGTGGTACCTTAATTAAATGGTTATTATGGATCCTTGAATGTTAGGGTAAAATCTTTTGCAGTCTTTGGATATTTGTTGGTATTCTTAGTGTGATACACTGCTATGGATTATATTTTTTCATTGTACTTTCTAAAACTAGATCTTGTAGATGAAGTAATCGTTCGTAACCCTGCCTTTATTAGATTTCCAGTGTTGACTTTTCCTGAGACTGGAGTCTCAAGAGAAGATGAGGCTTTTTTGACTTTTTTTCCTTTTTTTTCTGTCCTGAAGTCACCACTAATCTGTGTAAGGTATTGACACAAAAGAAACAAACAGTTACTTTCTTCAGTAAGGGAGAGTGATTAACCAGAATTACAATTATTGCTGTTTCCACTAATTTATTTTTGTCTTCTTTTTTTTTTTTTTGTATATGCAGAGCACAAAGTAATCATAGTGGGACTTGATAATGCTGGAAAGACTACTATTCTTTACCAGTTGTAAGTATATGAACTAAATGTGTTTATGTTTGCATTTTATTACTTGTCACTGTCTATTCTTTGAAAAGTCACCTTTGTAACCTGGTGTAATCTCTAGGGTTCTAGATCACACTTTGTACATTAACGATATTAGTTGTTCTAAACAGAGTAAATTTTTAAAGGATAATTGAAAGAACTGCTTTAAAACTGAACTGTAAATTGAACAATAAATTTGTACATCCAAGCACAAAGTGAACTACAATTTTTGCCTGTCTGAATTTGTATGCATAGAAATAATCCTGCTTCCAGTAGCCTCAGAAAATAACAAGATTTTTAAATTAATGGAAATTCTAGCCACCCTGCAAAAATCCAGAAATGTTTCCAAATGTTTCTCAATTCCAGTGTCTAAAATCTGTGATAGAGAATTCCTAAAAATAATATTTCAGCTTTTACAGGTCCTACCTTACTAATTTTCAATAGCATCATTACATTCAAATCTTGGCAGCATTTCAAGAATATCCATAATAAATTCAAGAGTGTTGTCAGAACAATAATTACTATTGTAATTGTGGAAAAGGAGGAGAGTACAGATAAATTAATATCCTTGTATTTGGATATCAAAGCAGCATAGTATGCTTTCCAAAAAGATTCTCTATTCATGAATATTCTGAGCAAGCTTAAAGGTGGAACTGAGAAATTTTCAGCTATGTAACCAAACAATCCTTTTGGATTTAATATCTAGTTACTAATTAAAGTGCTTTGATAAAATTATATTCCAATTTATATTTTGCACAGTTTTGTATTTGCTTTTGTATTTGGGATCTTCAGAACGGCAGCTCCTACTTTAAAACAAGTGCATTTTAAGTTAATGTCCTTTAGAAAGACAGTCCTCTTATAACACTTAACCATTTGTTATGCCTTTTGTGTGCTTATTTTTCCTTGCTGATTTCTTTAAGCATGACTACAGTCACTACTTTCTAAAGTTGAAATGTATAGCTTTTTAAAAATATGCCTAATTGTTAAATATTTTTTGTCAGTTACACATATTTACTTTTTCTACAAAAAATGGTTATAATTGACCTCTAACAAGCCTTGTGGATTTTGCTGACTGGTCTTTATGGTGTGATATTGTTTCCTTTAGCTTAATGAATGAAGTGGTTCATACTTCTCCAACCATAGGAAGCAATGTAGAAGAAATAGTGGTGAAGAATACTCATTTCTTAATGTGGGATATTGGAGGACAAGAATCATTACGGTCATCATGGAATACCTATTATTCCAACACAGAGGTACGAGAAGATGCTTTGAAATCTGCAAATCAAAAAAGTTAGTTTTAAATTATATTTATTTATTAAGTATGTTTGTAGACTGTTGTAGAGATTGCAGCTGTATTGTTTTTACATTCTAATGCGGGAGAATAAATTCAAAAAGTGTGAGGTATTGCTGGTATGCAGCCATTTTTCTGGTAATATTTAAAGTATTTTTTCTGTTTACTGTAGTGTTATTTGGTCTATGCTATAAACTATGAAGTTAGATTTCTCCTAGGCAATCAAATGATAATGAAATACATTTTAGACTGCATTTTTTGCTTGCTTTTTAAAAGTAGATTAAAAAGAAAATTTTGAAATGTAATTTGCAAATTTTGTGATGATTTGCAGTGTTCAACTGGACTTCTGTACATCCAGTCTGAAATGGTTTTGAAATAATGATAATTAGGAGGAAATGAGGAATGAAGGAATAAGGAATAAAGGAAGGAAACTTTCTCTAAGCCTAGGCAGCAGTATTTAAACAGCTCATAGCTTTTATCCAGAGGAGGAAGAAAAATCTTGCTGTGCTCTACTCATGAGGTACTGGCAGAGCTGCTTTTGCTGGAAAGGTTGGAGAAGAATTCAGCAACAGTTTACTTGTGGGGTTTGTTTTTTTATGACAGTCTTTTTGAGGCCAAGAGGTTGTCAATAGAAAAAGGCACATATAATCACCGAGGACTCTTTTTGAGACATCTACACTGATGTAAAATATTCTAGACTTAATTTCATACCATTTCTCCTAAAAGCAGAGACCTCTTGTAGATGTTACTCTTTATATAAGTATTCCATCCTCTTGTAAAATTAGCTTTTGTATCTCTTCCTCTTTCTATATCTTTTCCTATGCTCTAGAAGAGAGGTGAGATCAGTGATCCATCTTAGATCTACTGTAAGCCTGATAATGACATCTCAACCTTCACATTTAGTATTTTAGACTAATTTTGTATTTTATCTGGAAAAGTGCAGCTACATCTAAGAAACACATGAAAATAAAGAGACTTCTACCAGCATTATCTGGTATAGAGGAATAAGTTCTTAGCATTTATCCCTTGAGTATCTTTGAGTTTGGAATTTAGAGAGATGCATATATTATTTTTCTGATACTTTTGGGATGTTCTTCATATTCTGTCTAGCAAGTGTTTGAAATCCAGTGCCTTGTAGTACTTGGAAAGAACTTTCCCTTTACTTCTGTCCTCTGGAAACAGTTAAGGAAGAAAAGAGATCTATTTACTATGCTAGTCCTAGCCTCCCTCATATGAATAATTCTATTACTGTTCCACCTCATCTGCTAGGCATCTCAAAGTCACAGCAGCATTAAATTGACTCAGGTTTTCATACTTTGTGGTCATTTTCAATGACTAGTGAATCCCTTTAATTTTATAAGGCAAAGTGATTTGGAGAATATGTTGGAGAATTACAGCAGTGATTTCTAATTCTCCTTTTTTGCTGCTCTCTTTTCTCTCCTTTGTCACTTTCTCTCTTCTGGTTGAAGAAAGTCCTCTGAAAGTGTCTGTCTCTTTTGTTGGAAGATTAGTGGTAGTGGTCTCTTGGAATTCTGCTTTCTGTAATTTGTAGTTTTTATTTACATATTATATTATTGATGTTTTTCCCTAGTTCATCATTCTGGTTGTTGACAGCATTGATAGAGAGCGACTGTCTATTACAAAAGAAGAACTTTATAGAATGCTGGCTCATGAGGTATGGTGGGGAATTGGGATGATAATTTTGTTGAGAACAGGCAAAGAACATTTCATGCTTCCCATGTTAACAAAAATAATTTTGTCAGAAAAAAAGATTTGAGAATAAGTATGCATTCATGTTGATCACATTTTAAAACCATGTAAGCTATAAATAAGCAGAAAAATTATTATGATGCACCCTTCTAACAGGACTTGCTTTATTGTAATTAAATCAGTCTTCACTTTGCAAATGTTGAACTTGTAAAATATGTTATGCGTCATATTATTGTAACTGGATATTGTTGTCCTTTACCACTGAGTAGTTCAGCTAAATGGCTAAAATTTCAAGAAACCTTTTTATTTTAGTTTTTATTTTTGGAGAAATGGAATTGCCACCTTTTTTTCTTTGTTCTAATCCTGTTTCTTAAAATTAGGGAGTAAATATCATACTATGGGAAAACTAAGTTAATTTCATTTTCCTTTAGAATTATTTGTTTGTATTTTTATTATATGTTACTGTGGGGACGTTCAGCATTGGGTTAACTCATTCAAACATCCTAAATTAAGTTGTACATTTGCTTAGATAAAATATGTTAAACCCTTTTGTGATCATTCTGAAGCTGAATTAAGGTTGTTTTCAATCTAAATATTCTCCTTCATTTAAAAAAAAAAGGATTTAGTACAGTGCAAGTAATCCCATTAAGTTCATTTCTCTGAGAGACTTGTGTTTTACATAAGTGAATTTGTACTTTGCAGTTTAATAGTAATTGTAGTTTGGGTCTAACAATAAGGAGTAAATTCATTGCCAAAAAAGGTGGAAGAATTACTTCTTGTGCCAGAGTTTTCCCATGTAGTTTTTTGGTTTCCAGTCTCAAGCTCTTAAGAAGCTGTGATCTGCCATCTCTTGAAATCAGTTGGTAGGCCTAGACTGGGCTTCTTACAGAGTTTTTCAGCTGTAGATCATAAAGCTTTATTGTTTTGGTTTTTTTTTCTCTTGGTGGAAAAATACTCTCAAAATTTAACATGTATTGAAATGTATTGAACACTTTTAGTTGCAACTGTCAGCTTCCTGAGTATTAGATTTGTTTACCCTTCTGCTCTTTTAAAGCCATACATTCTAGTTCTTGTCTGTTCAGAATGCTAAAGTCCATGCTGAAACAAAACTTCTTTAATTAGTTATAAAAGCTGATGCAGCATTATTAAAACTCCCTTTTTGAACACTAGAGTTAAACTTAACAGGAATTCAGAAAGCTTTCTTAAATTATTACTGCTTTAATAAATACAGAACTTCTTTAATGAAGTTGAAAGAATTTTAAGAGACTGATATTTAGCAGTCTTTTCCATTTGAATAGTATATATTGTAGGACTTGCAATGTTTAACCAGAAATAATTCCACTAACTGAGTGATTTGGAGCATTATAAAATGTATTTTGACAAGACTTTCATTAGTTATGTATGAACATGTGGTCAACACCAAAAGGATTTTCATATAACACATTACAATTTGATTCTTTGTGGTGGTGAACACTTCTGAATAAATTAGGTTTTCAGTCTTACTGTAACAAATACTTTGTGTAGTAAGACGGTTTAAATTCCATGCTCCAGAGAAATCGTAGATTAGCTTGGATACAGTTCTTTTAACAAATGAAGTGAGCACAATAGCCTTTTAGTTTTGTATAATAACTGTTATGAGTACTCTGAACCATTTCTAGGATTTACGGAAGGCTGCGGTTCTCATCTTTGCCAACAAGCAGGACATGAAAGGCTGCATGACGGCTGCCGAGATATCTGCATACCTCACCCTCAGCTCCATAAAGGATCACCCGTGGCACATTCAGTCCTGCTGTGCTTTGACAGGAGAGGGGTAAGTGCTTACTGCTTACTACAGCAGTTCCTGGGAAAAGAGAATACTGATTTAGAAGCCTGCTGACACCGAACTTTGCTGTCAGAGGGACTTTTTGAATTTTTCTTTTTCATAATTGAACCTTGTGGGTTTTCTCATAGCTCAAACTCCAAATTCATATGAACATCTTCCATTTGTTGTTAAAAACCCCAAACCAAAAACCAAACACTACCCCCTTCACCTAAGTATGTAGCTGTTGACATAGCTTCCTACTCTCTTTGTGCTACTCTTACTCTTGTGTGTCTTTCTGTATTTGAAGAAATAAGTTACTGTTCTCTTCCTTTATATTCTAAACTACAGGAAGCTTCTAAGCTGCGAGGTTGAGGTGTTCAGAATTTTTTTGGTTGGTTGGCTTTTTTGATTAGCATTGAGAGATAGTTTTTGATTAAAAGTTACACAGATCTATCATAAAACAAATTTTTACCAATATTAAACTTTGTTTCTATCTGGCTAGTGTAGCTAATTTTGAAATCTGCATAACTTATGCTAACAATTACTAAAATGGAATGCTGGGCTTAGATCCTTAGTCTGTATATATAAAAAAACCATTTTGGATACCTTCTACAAGTTGAATAATGTCTTGCTTGTACGGTGTGAAGTGTACTGATTTTTCATCTTGGTTTTTAAAGCAGTCTTGTAATGTGTAATATTTGGAGGATTTTTTAGTTGTGTTGTACAGCCTTTACAATACTGTGATCTTGTGACATCAAAAATAGTGAATCCAACTGAGTATTTGGGAAGGGAGAGCATCTACTTCACTTACTAGCATGAACTATTGTCTAATGTCATGGAGATATATTGCAGAGTGAATGGTGGCATTAACTTCCTTAGGGTGGAACGTGTTAGTGAGAAAAAGTGGGAGATTGTTTTATAGGGAGGTTGTATTATTTCGTTCAAAGAGTTAACTCTACTTTCCTTCTACCAGTTTTGCTAAAGTCACTTTTGAGTACACAGTTTATGCACTAACTAAGATCTTCAACCAGTTGACATTTGAAGGAAAATAATAATCAATAAATATGAGGTTTAGTTTAGTAACAGTGGCTGTCCTAGGTTGCTTCTTTCGTATTGTAAAACAAAAAGCAGTGAATATTTAGAATACTTTAAACTATGACAGTATGAGATAAACTTAGAAAAAACATTCCCAGAGTTAGATAGCTAAGCTGAGACTTCCTTGGGAAGATCTGACAAGAATCAGGGGGGATGAACCTGATGTGAGTGAAGATAACATTCTTGGATAGCTACATACTGATTTACTGTACAGAGGTAAACCTCAAAGGGGTATAAATTAGGTAACTAGAACCCTAGAAAATCAAAGGAAGGTCTATCTTCTAAAACAGAAGACTTTTAAAAGGAGATGCAAATTGAGTTAGGAAGTAGATTAGATCCCATGAAGACTTAGTATTCAATATAAACACACTTTTAATTTTGTAATGTAATTTTGATATACTGTCTTTTCATTTACCAGTTCAGTATGGATAACCTGCCCTTTATCTTTTAATATTAGTATGTAAAGGTCTAGCTTTCTGTAGAACAAGAAAAACTTCGTTTCTTTCCATGTACTTGTGAGTAAGCATTTAAGGATAGTGTCTTTTAGGTTTACAAGGAAAAAAAAACTTGAAATGCTGCCAAGCTTCAATAAAGTAGAAAATACCTTCAAGATGCTGGAATACAACTTGTACCAAATGTAACCTCTCTTATCTTTCAGATTATGCCAAGGCTTGGAGTGGATGACCTCCCGTATTGGAGTGAGATAGCTTTTTTTTTTCCCTTTTTTTTTTTTTTTTTTGTTATTCCTCCAAAAGAAGAGACTTCTATTTATCCTGTGAACATATACATTTTTCTGTACTTTTGGCTGCTGAGGCAGTGACCAGTGTTTAATTTATATCAGCCAACCTGTAAGCTGTGCTTGAATCAAGCGCAGTTGAACTGAAACACAAAAGTATTTTCTTAACTTTTTTTAATACACTAATCTTCAACTGGATGAACATACGTGAATCTGTTTTTAAGCATTGAAATTCTTCTCAATATGAGTTCTGACTTTTTCAGTGATAGCTTTTTAAAATCTGTTTTGTCATTGTCAATATTTCATATTTCGTCTTTCTAAATAGTTGTATAACTTACTAACATAAATGAGCACATTTTATTTAATAATTAAAAGTAGTGTTTAGGTTAACTTTACTCTGCCATAGCTTTAACCTCAAAGGATAACCATATCTCCAGCTGGACTTCCTGGAACATTAGTCAGCACGAGAATTAATAGTTATGAATTCAAATTTTTAAGTGCTTGATGAACTAGTTATAGTTAATATTGTGGTGGCTTTCAATCTGATATACAGTGGAACTTCTGCCTTAAAAGAAATCTTTTTTCAGTCTCAGTTTCTCTGGTATGTAGTTCTAGGACGTTCTTATATTCTTCTTGAAGATACATCTTCGTACAGTGCATAAAAATATTATTACTAAGTGCTGGTGTAGTCATTTAGAACTTGAATACCTTTTTAAGATAAATGAGTAATTAAATTTGGAATCACGGCAGCCAGTGTTATGTGTAGACTTGCTGTATTCTGTTAAAATTTTAAATTCTGCATACATGAGCCTTCCTCACCTTCTAGTGAGTGTTGTTTTCTAAATGAATACAAATCAAAAGGGAAGCCAGATCTATAAACAAAACAAAACCATGGTGCTCTATCTGTAGACTTCAGAGTGAAGCTAATCTTGACATTCATTTATCTAATATCATACATGTTTTCAGATTCTGTTGCAGAGAAATTATTTTGCCTTCATTTTTTTTTTCTTGGTCTTATTTGCACAAGCAAAGAACTTTTGACAGTGTTTGAGTTAGGTTCCTTCACCTGAAGCTTGAAAAACAGGTGATGATAGACTAGACCCAGTAACTGTTAATTCAATTTGAATGGAATTAAGTGAAATCTAAAGACTATTTAAAGATACGGAGTTAATTGAGAACATTAAGCATCAAATAAACCTAACCACCAGTCCCCCAAAAAACGCCACATGAAGACTGAAAAAAACCAACAAATCAAAACCAATAGTTGACACCCAGTTCCTAGCCAAGTCCCAGCAGCAGTCAGGTACCCAACCCATCTAAATTCTTGGCAGGTTTTCCAGAAGCACCGCTCTCCACTTCTGCCTGCCTAAAAGCCACATGGAGTTTGGTTACCTGAACCATTTTGCAGACTGACTGTAGGCCTTTGATGACAAAATGTTTTTGTTTAATCTTGTTTTGAAAATTTAAGCACACTCGATTTTCTTTAATAAAGTTTTAAGCTTTGTAAATTTCAATTTGCTTCCATTTTATTTAAATGAAACTTAATGAAATTTTAAAAGTATCAACAAATATGTTGTCATAAGTGTTGGAAAGACTTTGAATACACTTGGAAACAGTGATTGGTTGAATGAAGTTGTGTATTATTGCCAATTAGAAAAAGTCACATTTAAGAATACATTGAGTGTCAAGTCAAAATATTCAGAAAATAATTAAAATCAATGAAAATTAGTGTATAAAGAAAAAAGATGAATGCAAGGCAAGGTTAAAATCTGATATTAAAGCTGCTTGCTCTGATGTTCAGCTGTTTTAACATGTGAAAACAAGATTGTTTTGCTCTTAGGGAAGCAAATTATGAAGGAAAAAAAATAAAATGATAGTATGAATGATGTTTCTTGTTTGGTGACTTAAAAATAAATCTGAAAATAAATCTAAATTGCAGACTGAAATTATATCATTCAGAATGTAGTCCTGAATACTTACAAAGAGCACTAGCTGGATGTATAGCCCTTTGGTTGTTTTTTTTTTTTAATGTATGATTTCATATTTAGTGCTTTCTAGTTAAAACCATTTGTTTGTTAAAATCTATAGTTTGATTACTAAATCCAGTATTATGTGAGGTAATACATACAACTTTGATTAGAAGGAAATGGTCTGGTTGTAGACATTAGAATATAAGAGTAATGGATGTTTTCTTTTAATTTCTTAGCACTCAAGACCTTTGAGTATCTTTGCAGGATAAAACACTGCTAACAAATGCTATGATTTTTTGTCACCTAAGAACTTCATTTTCTGCAACAGTTTTCATTGATAGTACTGATTTGTTCACAGCACTATTGTGATTTTTTTACTATTATTATTTTTTGGGGAAAATGCCTTAGTATGGAATTTTGGGGGGCCTATTTTTAATAACTTCAGGGCCTGTTAAACTAAAAGTGATTGGTTCAAAGTATTTTTAAAGGGTTGCCTTAGAATTATTATTGTGTATGTCTTTGCATTGCCAAATACTGCATTATGTTTGCTAATTTGAATGTAGTAAATATCTTGCAGTAGTTTTGTACGTTGAAAGTATTCTGTGTTTAAGTGTTCATATGCTGTTCACGGAGAGCCATGTTAATCACCTTAAGTTCAAGAAATTATGGTGTCCTATGCACATTTATATTATACTGCTGTAAATGGATTGGCACATGGCTTTTTATTTATGGTTTTTTACTTTTTGCCAAGGTGGCAAAGAGGTTCAGTATCCCCAAACCAGGGATTCTTGCCAGCTCTTTAAAAACACTGCAGTCAGTAAAGTGAAGAGGACTTGGGCACAGCTGCTCAAAATGTTTGTCATGAAAATAAAATTGAGTTGTTCTTTGAAGCTGGATGGGGTTTTTGTTTGTGAGTGCTCTGTGATGAAGAGGTATTGCAGCAGTGTAGCCTTGTCCAGTTCATTTCATCTCCAGTCTGTTTACCGGGGCAGAATGGGGGCCTACATCATGTGCAGCTGTAGCCAGTTCACAGAACATCTTGGCCTGACACCTGCTTCCTTTCATCTCGGAGAAGCTCCAGCTTTGATCATAAAGATCACATCGTTTCAGCCATGGGAAGTGTGGGTCTTTGTTTGTTTTAGTGAAGGGTGTTTGTTTAGTGGACTGTTCCCTTTCACATTCAGAACAAAACAAATCCAAACAAAAGACTGGGAAAAAAACTTATATGGATCTTTGTGTGTACATTTGACTATTCTTAGCATCTAGCTGAGTTTGCTCTTTCCTTTTGTAGAGTCTGCCTTGTCAAGGGGCCCAGAAGGCAACAGTGAGGAGAGGAGGATGAGAAAAACTTAGCCAGAAAAATTACCTTGATAATCTTTCAACATTGAATAATTCTATATTTTGTTTCTTAAGGGATAGTGCACTAGAAAAGCTGCACACTGTCCATGCAGTGTGTGTGCTTGCCCTGCAGGCAGAAGAATGTGGCTTTATGCTAGGTTTGGTTCTTGCTAGATGTGCCACTCTTCAGTTCAGTTGATTTCTGTTTTGCTCGGTAGAGATACGCATTTCATACAGAAAGATTTCCTGGATGTAACTGAAGACATTCTTCCAGTTGCACACCAGTTTGTGTCCCCTAGATGGCAGGAAAGGATCAGTTTAACAGTGCCTTAGCTGCTTTAGCTTGTGTTCTTTGGTATCTATCTGAAAGACTTCTAAAGTGAAGAGGCTGTGTACCACTACCTGAACCGTGGTGATCATGCTTAGATAAAATGGAGACAGCATAAGGGAGAGGAAGCTTACAGTGAGGTTTAAAAAAATTTAAACTGTTCTATAGCTTAAAGGCATTTTGTCTTAGTTCTTTTAATTCTTTATGGTTAGAATTATATTCCAAGCCTTCTATTGTTGCTGCAACTGAGAATGTGACAACAAAAAGAATTAATACAATTCCTGGAATATTTAATTTTAATAATAACTCCTGTCTGTTGCCCATGACATGCTTGATTTCTTTTTTTTTTTTTTTTAACTTTGGTTGGTGACAGTTGCTCCTGTAATGCTCTGGTGCACTGCTACTCCTCAGAAATTGCAAGGATCTGGAACATTTGAACTGTCACCTTGCAGTGTGTTTAGCTGTAATGATGGTTTATAGTCTTTACTATATACTACTGCATATGAAGGCTAAATTCAAGTAAAATAGTAGTTCTATTGCATGATTTAGATTATTTTTAGTGTAAGTAGTCCTCAAAATAGCAGTTGTTGCAGTGAGCAGTACCACCAACAGGCTTTCATTGCCCATGTTGTTTCTTGTAAAGTGATGAAATGAGTATCATATTTGTGTTTTTCTCTTTAAGCAGTGTTTAAAAAAGTTTACATTATAACTACAACTATTGATAAGAGTATTGCCTAATAATTAGCACTTGATTTTTATGCCCACATTGAAAGTTACTGCTGGCCAATCTTCATTACAGGTAGAAATTCCTTGTGTGGTCTCAAAGGGCTTATCCTCTATACTTAACAAGAAAAGAAGTGGTGAAAAGTGTTGGGCCATCTCAGGAGCGAGTGAAGTATAATAAGACCATAATTTCATGTCTTTTCTAAGCGTATTCTGTATTGAAGTGATGAACAAGAACTTCTTGAAACTCGCTATCTGTTTTGGCAGCTCATCTTTTACAACTAGAAGCAAAAGCTGACCTGTATGTACAAGTTGTACCAAAGAGTTTAGTTGAAAAATCTTTAGTCATCTGGTGGGCCAGGTGGGAGCTGTCAAGACCTAGCATAGCTGTGCTCCTGTTCTGTTTCCAAAGCCACTCAGATAGATGTACTGGCTCAGCATTCAGGATTTAAGCATGCTTTCCAAGAAAGCTGACTTGGAGATCCCCACACCCTGGATCTGTGGGTACACCTTGTGTGTGGTTTATTCAGCCTACAGAAGCCATCTCCAAAGCCCTATGCAGAGGTTTCTGTGCTCTGCAGTGCACATGGTGCACATGTTGAGTCCACAAAGAATGAGGTGGATCTGCCTCCAGAGATGAATTTGGTCACACTTCATTCCTATCCTGAAATGACCATGAAGTCATTGGAAGCTGAAATGAAGGGTACAAAGATAAACCTCAGTGAAAGTACATTTTCAGATGTAAGTTTCAGATTCACTGACGTTTTAGAATTTAATTAATTAAAAGGTACTGTTGTTTGGGAAAATGTCTACTGAGTTCTTTAAAAAAAGAAAGCCTGTTTAAAAATAGGGCTGCCAAGACTGATAGTGAGTATTAGTGATAGCTTTCTTCTCAACAAAACTCTGGTTTCTGGTCCCTCATTTTCCAAGACTCCACTTTTAAAGCAGTGTTTTCACTGAATCATTTTTCCATTAGCTTCTCCCATACTCCTTTTAAGGTTTTATTCCATTCTGTAGACTGAGTTCACTGGTTTAAGCTTGGACCTTTGCTATTCTAATCTCATGTTGAAAAAAAGAACGTTTTGGTCAACCTTGAAAGTTTGACAAAATATCTTCAACCGCCACCAATACTCCACTGTTGGGAAAAACTTCAAATGCATTTTTTTTTAAATAGTGTTGCTAGATACTTGGTGTTGGTTTCCATTGAGTACACTACAATTAGAATCTGAAGACACCAACTGAAAGATTAATGTTCAAACTTGTGGGAAAATATGAATGGCTTGATTTGTTTTGAAAGATACAAATATATATATATATGTATATATAAATTTCCTATACATAATGGAAATTGATGCACATACATAACTGTAGTCTGTCCAGTGAGTATTGAACAAGATCCCTATTGATCCTAAAAAGGCCTAAGCTCTCAATTCTTAGCACTGCCTTTCCCATCCAACAGTTGCTTTGGATTTAGCACCTTTCAAAGATAAATACAGCCTCTTAAAATATTTTCCCTTCGCTCTTTTATCAGTAACTTGCAAGGTGGCAGCTACTTGATAGATTCCATTTTCAATTTAGTAGGAAATGTAATGTACTTCTGTTCTGGAGGAAAATTGGTAAGTAATTACTGTAGAATTAAATCCTATTGCTTCTGTGAAAATAAACAATACAGGAGGTGTCTGGGGACTTGCAGTAGGATGCATAATCCAAGAGTACTCATTCTTCTTTATAGAACTATCTAATTAGGAGTTAATGAAAAAATATTGGACTACTTGCAGTTCTGTACACTGATTCTCTGCAAGTGTGGAGAGTTTCTTTTGCTTCCTCTGAATCTCTTTATGATTTTGCTTCTGTTTTTTAGCTGCAGTGAAAATGGGATCTCACATTAACACAAATTGTTTATATCTTGGTAATAGGCAATTAAGTTCAGTACCTTTTTAATTCAGTTGCTGGTTTGATTATCTCTTCTGTGCAAGTCAAAACTTTCTTCTAGACTATGTACAGATTTACCATTTTTGCCAAATAAAAAAAAAAAAGGAAAAAAGAAAATGAAAAAATTGTTAAGGAAAGAGAAAGTAAAAAGGGTTAACTACATATGAGTTGAAAAGATGGAGAAAAAGCACTTCTTTCTGAAGACAAACCATGTGTATCTGCTTGCCTTGTTCTGCGTTTCTTTTGCAGAAAAAAAGAGTTTTGACGTTTTTAATTGTGCTGAACAAGTACTAGACAGAGGCACCATGTGTGAGCCATGGGCTTTATATTCCAAATATTCTATTTTAGTTCTATTGATGAAGTGTCAGCTAGGATTTCTCAGCACTGAAGATTCCTGGGCAGAGACCATATTGGTGACAATCTTAAAAACCACAGCACATCTCTGTGCCCTTTTTTTACTCTGCCAGAAATTCACATTTAAACCAAAGTCTCTCCCCACCAATTATGAGGTATAAAGACAATTTGTCCACTACATTTACAATGCAGGAAGTGAAAATTAGCTATTGATCATATAATATACATAGCAATGAATTCAGGGTTATGGACAAAAGTACTTGCAAGATTCATAAATATTTGATTGCTCTGAAACACAGATGTCGGTGGATTTGTTTTTAAAGCCTAGTGCTAGAACTAAATAGAATTTTAATATTGCTAAAATTATACTAAGATGCTTTTGGAACTTCAGGTAAAATAGATCTAACTTGGGTAGTAAATCTAGTTCGTTTCAAAGGGACAGAGCAATAAAACCCTTGAACCAGGCATTACCTGAAGGTAATTGACTGCATCTATGAGTTAAATGTTCCAAGGAAGACTGCTTTTAGCTGACAAGGTCAATTATCCCCTCACTGTGTCCTCTTTGGGCGGTACTGGAATTCCAAACACATCTAAAATTGTTAAATAAAAATTTTGAGAGCAAAATAATGTGTCTTTAAATAGAAGTCCTACTAACTATTTTTTAAAACTCAGACATTAAAGAAATAAATGCACTGAAATAGGACTTATCCAATGGATATATGTACTTTGCTTTAAAGTGGTAGTTATCTATCCATTGTCACTTCTGGTTGGGTGGAGTCTGATTATGGGATTTTTGTGGTTTGTTTAAAAACCATGGGCTGTAAAATGGAATTGTGTGATAAATGGACTTGTACCATCTCTGTATTTGAGCATCCCTGCAAGCCCTGTGTCGTGGTGGATGGAATCCTGATGAAGTAGAGACAGGTTCTGTGGGCCGAAACAGGCAGTGCTGAGCCACATCGGGAATTGGTGAAAGGTCGATGAAGTGGTTCAGATGCCAGTAGCAAGGTTCTTCCTTGGTTTTATTTCAGATGTCCCAAGTTCAGCTGGCATGTCCCACACAATGAACCTCACCTGCTCTTTGTGCCTGGGGAACATGAAGTGATGCTCTCTTGGGATGTTTGCTCAGAAACAAATGGTTTGAGACCTGAGGGACAGCCTCAAACTCTTCGCAAGCTGTTTTGGGCTACCTGGTGGAGAAACACAGATCATGACAAATCTTTATATGACATGTTTTTCCTTCCCTTTGGTAATGCTGTATATAAATTGTGCCTTTTTCCTTGTTTTAGTTTCCTGTTCATTTATTTCATAAACTTCTTTGGTTGGAAACAAAATCTTTATTATAGCATTTGAATTTCATCTGTTTTCCTGCAGTTTTTCTCTCAAAAGTAACAATTACCTTGTCCTGATAACACCAGATTGTTCATCTGTGTCCAATTTGAAATTAACATTCTGCCTTCTTTAGAATTGTTAGCCTATTCATTTTGTGGTGCTATATTGTTCATTCCTTCCAATATGGTAATAATGCTATTTCCAGTCCTGTTCATGCTGTTTATATTCTGCTAATGTTTGCATTTGCTTGGGAAATTGTGGAGCCTCGTTACTATTTTATTTTAAGTTATGTGCATATTCTTGTTTTGTGAATCTACTATATAACTTAATGTTCCATGCAGCTTTTTGTCTTATTTTAACTCCAGTGCTAACCTCTGCAAGTCCTTCTTCTGTTTCTTACTCTGGGATTTTGTCGTATTTGCCATAGTATAGTTGCTCTATACATCATAAACTTCAACTCTAGTTTAGTGGTACTTGAGTGGGAAATGTACTGTTTCCATAGGGATTAATTTTGTCCCACACACCTTTTTTTTATCTGATTCTTTCTAGATTAACTTTAAACTCCATGTTTATCTTTTTAGTCTTTAGTCAGAGGCTTCTTCTACCTTCACTTACTCTTCATAGTGTCTATTCAAAAATGTGCTGAAGCTGTTTCAGAACTAGTTAATTACAATAGCAATGTCCTGTGGCTGTCTTTCTTTCTTGAACCTATTTCTAGTAGCCAGAATTGGAAGTGATGCTTTAAACCTTCTTTGTTTTTCACATTTCTGGAGCATTTCAGAAGTTAACAGATACTCAGAGTAGTGTGCCCCAATACCTTATCCAGCGATTGTTCAAAAAGAGATGCTGGCTGTTTTACAGTGTGCCTGAGTAGGAGGGTGGAACAATGCTCTGTGTGGGGTGAAATGAGTAAGGAAAAAAGAGAAATGAGGGGTGAAAGGAGAAGGGAAAAGGCATCAGAGGTGGAAATGCCTTGATTCTGCCCAGGCAAGCAAACATCAAAGTCTGCATGAGTCAGAGGGCACTGCCCTGTGGCAGCTGGGAGCTGGAAGATATATTTGGAGCTCACTGACATCAGTACTTGACTGGAAGCAGGGCCAACTTTAAAGTTAGGCTTTGAGCCTTGTCCCATTGTCTTGGCCTGCACTTAGTGGAACGCTGATCTTTCCCACATTGTCCTCTTCAGATGCCATCTCTGTGTCCAGGGCACTGGTTTGAGCATTCATGTGTGTCAGAGGCCATCTGAAGCCCACTGATTCTCCATTTGCCTTTCGATTGCCACAAGGAGAAACCCCTTCCCCCTACTGCAGTTCCAGCTTAGAGAAGGCAACAGTGCAGGTGCAGCCACTGTGCCGTTACGTTCGCTGTTCCCAACGAGGCTGGCAAGGACTTGGCAAAGACCTGGCATGGACCCAGCACAGGGCAGCCTGCTTCACTCTCCACCTTTAAGCTGAATGAACTGTTGGGGTGACTCTGGTGGTCTCTCACTGAAGACCCCTCATCTGCCTCGTTACCACCGTGACAGATGGAGATCAAGAACCCTCTCCCCAAGGACTGAGACTGAGACCCCTACCACAGGGAGTGGGGGAAATAGTGGTGTGACCACTAATGACATGACCTGTTCTTCTTCAGTAACTCCAATGGACTTATTCTTCGTTGTGTTCATCCTGCCTTGGTGGTTTCACTGGACTCACCTGTTCCCCCACAACAATTTCAATAGATTCTCATTGTTCTGTATGTTCCCCTTTTTTTTTCTTGGTGGACTATAACTAGACCCCTGGGTTAGGTAGGACTTTGGAGCCTCTCCCCAACACAACAAGACAGATCCCCATCGTCCGGACCAGTGAGGACCTCGCCTGTGTTGGTAGCTATTCCCATCCCCCTCTTTTCTCTCTCTTTATGCTTTTATCTCCTTTCTGACCCCACTATCGCATTTATTGTTTCAGCCCTTAATAAAGGTGCATTTGTTGTGATTAAACTGATAGTCCCCTGCTGTTTGCCTTTTTGCACTTTTGGGATCGGTTAACGAACCATCACAACACCCCGCAACAAGCAGATCGTGACATTGTGACCATACTCAGAGTCAAGAAGCTTATTTGGCTAAGAATCAATCATTGAGTGACTTCAAAACGACATAACATTGGTGTTAACAACATCCTCTCCTGGCTTTTCCTGAGGGAAGCAAGGTGATGAGACGTAGGAAAGAAGCAACCCCTGTTTACAAACCAAAATTTGTCCCTTCCTACCCCCCACAATACACACGCATGTGGGAAACCTCTTGCACTTAAGCAAGCAAGAAGTTTCATCAATGTAAATTGTGCTTTGGATGAATGAGCAACATAATCAGAAGCTACTGAACATTTTTTGCTCTCTAAAATAAGATTTAAAAATGCCTAAGGACTTTTCTTGACAATGCCTGAAATTTAGGCTTCAACCAAAAATATGATAGGAAAACAAACATCTGCTGTAATTTTTCAAAGCACACTGAAAGCTACAGTTCAATTCAAATTCTGGATTTAATGTGAAAATATAGGTAAAATATAAACCCTGGTGTTTTGTAACAAGCTAAAGCCTCACAAAACCTTTCTGTCACAGATCTTGCTCAGCTTTTCCGTAGCCTAATATTAAGCTCAGTAACAGCCAAAGTATTTTGTGAGGTTTATTCTTTGGTATAGAAAACCTTTAATTTACCCTCTGGGATATCTGAACTTGCAATAAAGAGCTGTCACATTCACTCTGATTCTATGTGTCAATCTGCTAACTCTCATGCTGTTCAGTGTTTTATATTGTTTATAAATAAAGTGATTGCTGCTGCTCTCCATCAGGTTTCTGAAGCATATACCATGATACTAGGACAATCAAATGTCATTGGGATGAAATTTTATCTATACTACTTTCAATTCAAACAAACACACAATCCTTAAATTTTTTCATCCCAACAAGAACACTGTAATCAAATGAAATCAGGGTGGGATTGGAGCTAGGCAGGTGTATGATGAAAGAGGAAGCTTTAAGTGCAGTCTAGCACTTAATACAAGATGCTGTTTTATAGATAATGTGCAGAAATAGAACTAGATACAGGTCTAATTTTTGTTCTGTTCTTTGTTGCTGTCTGAATGTTTGGCTTTTTTCCTGTGGTTTCTTTGTCCTTTCCTTCCCAAGCTTCTAAGTGAAGCATCAGCTTGGAGGATTCTGAATTTCTTTTTCAAGATTTGCATATTTCAGTGGTGCAGTAGATAAGCTTAATAAATTAGGGTATTTCAATAGCACTAAGTGTTATAACTATAGATGGCATTATGAAGTAACCAATATTGTCTTTGTACTTCATGCATTTTTCATGTGAGCAGTTTCCTCAGTATAAAATAGTGTTTAGTATCTTGACACCTGTGCAAACACAGAAAATATGTCTTAAATTATTCCCACCTGCACCAGTCCTACCTTCTGATCTTCCCTTGCCATATGCTGGATGAAGTCTAAAGAAGATGGACTTGTGATAAAAAAAATTATTTTTCTGAAGAGTTAAGCTACTTTTTTCACTAGTATTATTAATAATTTTATTTGATCTTGTTTTTTTCCTCTAGAGAGTTCCTTTTCAGCAATTTATTTTATCCAGTATTCCATACTATGTAATGACACCCAGCTTCATTGGGGTTTTAAAATTTAGTGTTAAAGATGTTTGGTATATTTAACTATATTTTAGTTCAGCTTATTTTTTCAACTCAACTTTTCTATCAAAACTAATAAAATACAGTGTCAACATCAATTTTAAACTTCTTCCCTGGGAGAAGACTCTGTACTGTCATAGAACAATTGGCCTCTTAGGTTGATTAGCTCAGACTATATTCTCTACATAAATGTCTGGTTTGAAGTTACTGCAGTAAATAGATACTTTCATTTCAGATTTTTGAAACCCCTCAAGTTTCTATTCACATTTATGACTTCAAGATAAAAAATATGAATGCCTTTGAATATAACATTAGATGCATTTACTCAGGACAGCAAAATGTGTATTAAAAACAAGACACAACTTCAGTTCTACAAAGGTATTAAAGAAAGATAATTCCAATGGAGAGAGATTTAGATGCAATACATGCATCTGCAAAGTTTGGAATTGAGTATCTTGAAGGCAGTAAAAGTTAAAAGCTAGAAGAACAACATATTAACTGCTACAAATCACAGGAAAATTACAGGTGTCAAGTATCACAAGTGTGAAACACTTCTGAAACATTCACACCATTGTAGAGCAAGGATTGCAGGAGAGCTTGGCACGCTGAGTCAGCAGTTGCTCCTTCAGCTGTGAACAACTTCATCATTTAGTAGATACCCTGACAGATCTGCACTCGTGTAATGAGATTTCTGACAAGAGTTTGCAGTTTATTCTGTGTGCATGTAATGTTTCAAATTATAAACTAATATTCTTCAATTCTGACAACCCTTCCGCTGAAGTTGTAGATTCTTAGCTGTCTTACTGATCAGTGATCTTCCATAATAATCAGTGAATTTCTTTGGCAGCTGATCATGTTCCATACTCTATAGTGGATTATTCCAACTGCAGAAGTCTCACATTAAGATGGTCTGCTTTTACCATCAATTTAAAGCAACAAGAATGAACAGGAAACAATAAAATGCAATCAAGTTCATTAAGGAAGTGCAATGTAGTTTTCTATGATGTGCTGAAAAACTTAGATCATGTTGGTGATATAAATAAGTTGTGAAAATTTAATGTGCTGCAATACTTCCAGTATCTTAAATATACTTTACTTATAGCTAGAGATTAAGTTTATCATTAGCTATCCACCCTATGAAAGCTCTCAAGGTTCTACTAAACACAAACAACTGCTGAAGAACATTTCTCTTGAGTTTTGACTTTGAGAGTCACCAAAAGTACTGCATGTAACTTAGTGCATGGAGGCTGAATGCTATTTAAACTGTCTAAACATGAAGCATGCATTTTTAAACACTTAAGTAGATGTTAAATAATAAAACCTGTTTTATTTTCCTTGTATACACCACCTAATGTATAATGAATAGATTGAAGGGCTGTTCTCCAGTGAGTTTGCTTAATGGGGCTGCATTCTGCATAGAGAGCTTCATCTGAAATGTGTATTGGCTTGAGCTATGTGCAGCTGTGCTGAGCTTCTTGGGGTTGCAGTATTTGCTATCTGTAGGGAAAATATCTTCTTAAAAATACATAATGCATGACATTTAAATTATGTTTAAATATGAACAAAATCATGAACAGACACAGCTGTGTTTGAATATGCATTCTTTGTCACTATCTCACCCGATAGGTTTATGTCTGTCTTCACTCCCGTAAGAGGAGTAGGATACATTTGCAAAGATATATTTTTGGTTGCTTATTTAAAACACATTAACAGTTCTGCTAGTTTCTGTGAGCAAATTAAGACTTTCTGTCTTTGTCAACCCCAGCAAAAAACTTGAGACCTAGCCCAAAAAGTTTAAAATAAGCAAAAGGCAGCTAGTAGGTCTAGTGATGATGAAAGTGTTGCACTCAAATGCACTGCTTGGATAGTTCCTATATGTTTACATGGTGCCAGCATTTTAGTACAGTTATTGCTAATTATACTTTGAGTCTGCACAGGGATGTTTGAGGTGTATTTCATTAAGACATTAGGAGATAATTGCTATTTGGAGGAGAGAGCCACCTTAATGTAACTGATACCTGCTTAGTGACAGCTAACACAAGAGTAGTAGACTAGACTAGTTTAATGTTATGTTTAATATTGTAATTCTCCCTGAATAAGTTATGTGTGACTGTTGATAGCTCAGTTAATTTTTCATTTCCCACTTTGGCTGCTTACTCTCCCACTCATTTCACAGTGAAATGTTTATTCAACCATTTCCTTATACTGGGGAATCTTACAGGAAAGGATGTGAAGAAAATGTCATGTGCAAGGTCTGGAGATAGCTTATGCAGCAGAAAGCTTTAGAACAGTTAGAAGTTATTGCAGGCACAGCTGAGGCTAAAAGACAAGACCTCACTGATACGGCTGAAATTAGCTGCTGTGAGGAGACTGGGGTAGAATCGCTTATGAGGAGCTCTCCCAGCTTGAATTCAAATCTGGTGTGGGTCACAAGTTAAAATGAGTTTGCACCCTTGTCCTCAGGGGACATTTATCTATACACCAATGCCATCTTGCAGTTTGGCACAGTAGTGGTGTTAAAAAGCTTTCTTAGGAGCTGCCTGCCCTGTGTGTCCTTTTCCTATTATGAAATCAGTTCTGAGTAAATCAGTCTCATTCATCAGGATGAAAAATTAAAAACAAACAAAAACCCCAGCTAAAACCAAGTAACCAAACAAAGAAAACTAACAAACAAAAAAGTAAACAAATAAAAAATAAGTGTTGTCAAACAAGAACTGTAGGGGTTTTTTGTACACAGTAATTCGGTGATATCAATATATAGGTAATGTTATTTTTTTTTCTTATCTTTATTAAGTATGTCAGTCAAGAGGGAACATTTAAATAGGAAATTTTTGTCTATTCATTGCATCTTATCTTATTTTTGTACTTTAAATCTCCTTTAAAATGTCCTACAAGATTAGGAAGTAACAATCAAATTCATCCCAAGAATAGACATTTATTTCAGATATAATCCAAGGACAACTGGTTCATAGATCTCTTTCCGTACCTATTACAGGTATAATTTTAAATGTCCCTTTAACTATCTATACAGTTTGTAGATTCTTCAAATACTATTTAGATTGTTGTCTTTGCCAAGTAGATGATTTCAGGAGCAGAATACCGTGACAGAAAATAGCAGCAGCTGGGGCTCTATTACATAGAAGGAGCTGCTGTGGCTGGGGTATGTCCCATGTCCAATGCTCAGGTGAGGGGCAGATCCTTACATTTCCTCTGAGTGAGGTATCTGCATCCTGTCACAGTGCAGTTCTTCACTGACCCAAGCAGGGTTAGAGATCAGGGATATCTACCCCTGAGTGATTCAGGCATGCTGGCATGTCCACAACATGCTCATAAAAACTGCATAATTCAGTACCTCACTGCCAGTCTTTCATCATTACTCTGCTACTGGTTCCAGACTCTCTCTCCAAGGTGCCTGGGTCTCCCTTGCTGATGAAGCAGCCACCACCTCTCTGCTTAGGAGGGCCAGAAAGCAGCAGATGCAGCCAGGAGTGAAGACAGGGTGCCGAGGACATCACCTGAACATTAGTCAGCCAAGGGAGAGATGAGGCAATTGCAAGTGCAGTTGAGCAGAACACCTGTAGTGAAGTTCCAACAAAACAAATTTTGATTATCCTTAATCCTCCCACAGCTGAAACGTGCATATTTGTCTCCTAGATTGCAAGTGCAGTGGACTTTTTTCCCTGATTATCCAGTTTTTCTTGATGTCAAACTCTTTTTTTTCAGTGTTCCCACTGTTGCATTCCAAAAATTGTAACAACTGCTAGCCCAGAGTCAAGCTGTTTCAGTGTTAATGAGGGTTGTGTGATTTGGGGGGGGGGGGTTATATATATAGTTTTTTAATTTACAAAAAATGTTTATCTCTTTATTTATGTTTAACATTACCTTGAGTGAATGAAATATGAGAATGGAGGCCAGGGACCTGGGAATGCCAGATATCAAAAGATGGATTTTACCAAGACTTTTTAATTTGCCTTTATTACTACTGCAGATTCATTGCCTGGGAACATTTTTGAAAACTACTTTCATTTCTTTCCTAAGTGTTACTTGCTATACAGGTAATCCTTATGTATCAGAG